CTCAATATCACCTAAACAACTCCTTTTTGGAAAGCAGACAGACAGTTTGAGGTATTTAGTAAGAGGCATGGCGAGTTTTTTGAAGTTTTAATATTTTTCTACAATTTTTTGGAAAAAGAAGAAATGAAATAAATAAAATTTGTTTTTTTCCCACAAAAATGTCATATTAACAAGGTGTTTCTCACACATGGCATAGGTATACTTGCAACTATACCCCAAAACACATTCTGCTACTTCTCCTGAGTAAGGCAATACCACATGTGTGAGACTTTTTTCTAGCCTAGCCACATAGAGAGGCCCAACATTCAAGAATCTTCAGGTGTCATCTGCTTTAAGACCGCCTTCTAACACTTTTTGTTTACAAATAAAAATCAGTATTTTTGCTAGAACCTAGAACCCCCAAACATTATATATTTTTTAGCAAGGGCCCTAGAGAATAAAATGGTGGGTTTTGCAAATTTTTATGTCACATGGTATTTGCGCAGTGGTTTCTCGATGCAATTTTACACACTGATGCAAAAATACACTTTAATATATTTTAATGCAAACACAATATAATATCCAATTTTTTGTAAAATATAAAATATGGTGTGCTGAGTAAATTTATACAAAACATGTCATGGATTAAAATTGCCCACGCTAGTGAAATGGTGCGAAGCTTCGGTATTTAAAAGTCTCCATAGATAATGCTTTATAAGCCTTTACAGGTTACCAGTTTTGAGTTTACAGAGGAGGTCTGGTGCTAGAATTATTGCTCTCACTCTGATGTTCACACAATACTTCACATGTGTGGTGCGTTCTCCGTTTACATATGCATACGGGACAAATGCGCGTGTTCACCTTTGCACGTGAGGACAGGGAGCATGTCAGGAATGGACTCGCCAATGGTGGTGGGACTCACCTGCCTTGTGGGCTGCAGTACCAGGGCTGGCCAGCGGGTGCTCTCAGCAACCAGAAGCTCACTCCTGCAATCAGCCATCACCTGAGGCTGATTGCAGGTGGTGTATTTAAGGAATGGCCAGACCTGCAGTCAGTGCCTTGGTGTTTGTTTCCCATGTGCCGTTTCCTGTATCCTGTCTCCTGCCTGCTCGACTCTCCTGCTTAACTCTGACTCTGATAGAACTCCGCCTTCACTGACCCCGACTATTCCTGACCATTCTTCTGCCTGCTCCCGTTGTACCTTTCTGCCTGATTGTTCCTGACCTGGCCTGCCTGACCACTCCACCTCTCCAGCCCTGACTGCACCTGTACCTATTAGTTTAAGGTTTGTTTTGCACTGTGTTTGTTTATTTTGTGCAGCTCATAATAATTATTATTATTATTTGATCATTTCTGAAGCCTGCTGTTTCCCTGTGTCAGTCCACACATCTCTTGTCATACCTGGATCCCTGACAGAGCATTTTAATTGTTTTTCATTTATTGGTGGGACACTGGTACACTGACAGATGTTTTTGTGCACTTGTACACTGTGACAGATGTTGATAGCCTACCGGAGGACAATGATATACACTATATAGCCAAAAGTATTGGGATGCCTGCCTTTACATGCACATGAACTTTAGTGTCATCTCAGTCTTAAGGTGGGAATACACGATTAGAAAATCGACTGATCGGTCATCCAATGACCAAGAGGAGTTCGTTCGTTGGTCGAATCGTGGCCCACAGTAACCAATCTAAAAAAATCATTTGTCGGGCAATATGTAGTGTTAACCAGTGGCGGACTGACCATTTCGAAACTCGGGCACTGCCAGAGGGCCCGGGGACAGTAGGGGGCCCCATGAGATGCCCCTGGTACCTTTTTCATAGGCTTTTTTGAGTTTGGGCAAGGACACAGGGGCCCCATGATCCCCTATTGCCCGAAGGCCTCATGAGTTGTCAGTCCGCCCCTGGTGTTGATGTCTTTCGTACAAGTGGAATTGATGCAGTGTGCATGTGACCTTGATTCCACGCCCCGATATACACAACAGTTAACAGCAATGAGTATAATATAGTTTATTACATTATCTATATATATATAAATAGTGATACATAAAAATATAATATGCATAATTCTAGTTTCATTATCTCATTAGGCTAATCCACTTTTAACATTTGGATCTTTTGTGCGTGTTTACAAAGATTCCTTGGATATAAATATCCGGGTCATCTACTGTTTCCGCTCATGCGTGATAGCACTTGATAGATTTTTTTCGTACGACAGTTATACCACCGCATAGAAAATCAGTAGTTCGTATGCGAAATGACAAAATATTTCACTGCTGTTTAACCGGATTTTTTCGTTCACAATATCGTTATCGGTTAAAACATCCTGCTCATCAACGAAGAGAAAATCGTTCGATCAGTGGTTCAGCAAACTTTTTCATATGATTTACTTATCGTGTGTATGGGGCATTACTCTGCAGGGTTCACTATTGAGTTGTCCCACCCTTTGCAGCTAAAACAGCTTCAAACCTTCTGGGAAGGTGGTCCACAAAATTTAGGAGTGTCTATGGGAATGTTTGACCATTCTTCACGAAGCGCATTTGTGAGGTCAGGCACTAATGTTGGACGAGAAGGCCTGGCTCACAGTCTCTACTCTAACTCATCCCAAAGGTGTTCTGTAGGGTTGAGGTCAGGACTCTGTGCAGGCCAGTCAAGTTCATCCACGCCAAACTCGCTCATCCATGTCTTAACCGCCCTCCCGCCCACCATATAAGGAAATGACGGGTGCAAGTCGGTTCTCTCGTTCTTGGAGGACGTCATATGGCATCCTCCCACTCTAACCGTGGTCACAGCGGATCACCAATCAACGGAAAGAGTCGAAGACGTGACCAATCATAGCTGATCGCATGTAAATAGGGAAATGCCATGCTGACAGCTCGAGAGGAGAGGAGAGCCAGTAATCGGCATTCCTCAGAGGTGATCAGTGTCCTGATAATCAGTAGAGCCCCAGCAGTGTCACCTGTCAATATCCATCAATGCCTGCTGTCAGTGCCCATCAATGCCACATATCAGTGCCCATCTGAGCTGCCTTTCAGAGCCGCCAATCAGTGCCAACTATCAGTGCCAGTCAGTACTGCCTATCAGTGCCAGTCAGTGCCGCCTATCAGTGCGCATCAGTGCTGCATATCAGTGCCGCCTATCAGTGCAATATATGAGTGCTGCCTTTCAGTGCCGATCAGTGATGCCTGTCAATGCCCATCAATGCCGTCTATCAGTGCCCCCTCATCAGTGCCACCTATCAGTGCCAATCACTGCAGCCTCATTATCGCACATCAGTGAAGGAGAAAAATCAATTATTTACAAAATTTTATGACAAAAGCTAAGAAAAATTTTTTTTTTCAAAATTTTCAGTTGTTTTTGGTTTGTTTAGCAAAAAATAAAAACCCCAGAGGTAATTAAATACCACCAGAAGAAAGCTATATCTGTCTCAAAAAAAATTATAAAAATTTCAAATGGGTGGGTATGTGACCACGCAACTGTCATAAAGTGTGACAGTGCTGAAAGCTGAAAATTGGCCTGGGCAGGAAGTGGGTATAAGTGCCCTGTAGGTAAGTGGTTAATGGACCTTGCTTTGTGCACAGTCATGTTGGAACAGGAAGGGACCATCCCCAAACTGTTCCCACAAAGTCTGAAGCATAAAATTGTCCAAAATGTCTTAGTATGCTGATGCCTTAAGAGTTCTCATGACTGGAACTAAGGAACATATCTCAACCCCTGAAAAACAACCCCACAACATAATCCCCCCTCCACCAAACTGTACACTTGTCGCAATGCACTCAGGTAAGTACCGTTCTCCTGGCAACCACCAAACCCAGATATGTCCATCGGATTGCCAGACAGAGAAGTGTGATTCGTAACTCCAGAGAACATGGCTCCACTGCGTTAAGGTCCAGTGGCGGCGTGCTTTACATCGCTGCATCTGATGCTTTGGAGGGGTGTCCCAATACTTTTGGCAATATAGTGTATGTATATATATATATTATATTGCTCAGCATAAATGAGTACACCCCAACAGTTTGGTCAGAAAAACTTTCCTTTCCTTTCAGAATCAACATTTTCTATGGGACACGGGCTATTGATTGTAAACAACATTTGTTAATTTGCACACACAAAACAGTATTTTTCCCAACAAATTCATTCAAGACCATGTTGTAAAAGTGAATACACTCCAATGAAAGTCTTAGGAGCAAAGCTGAAATTTAGACAATGAAATCCTAATTAACAAGAATTCAATTAAAGGTGAGAGTCTAGTTATTCATTAAATGGTGTCCAGCAGACAGTTGATTATAAAAGAGCTTTACTTAACAAAGAAAACCTCTTCCCAATTCATGCTGTCAGCAATGGCACCACATGGAAGAGAAATGTCACAAGGCCTGAAAAAGAAAGTAATTTCTTCACACCAAGAAAGGTGAAGGCTACAAGAAGATCAGCAAAGCTTTACTTATCAGTTAAAATACTACTGCAAAAGTGACACAAAAATATAACATGTTATAATAATGTTTAGGCCATTCACTTAAGTTAACACCTCAATAGGAGCATCTTCTGATGAGAAGGGTTGAAGAAAATCGCAATACAAGTTCACTGCAGTTAGCTAAAGAAGTAGAAAGCCAAACTGGGGTGAGATTGTGCATGCCATTCCTCTGCAGTGTTGTCATGGGAAACAAAGGAAGCCTCTCCTAAAGCCCAAGCACAAAAAAGCCCGCCTACAGTTTGCCAGGGCCCATGCTGAAATATGACATCCTCCCATTCTAACCGCGCATGTGCGGCTCCCGGAGCACGATGATCGGTGGAGCGCTGTGTCCCTCGGACACAGCGGATCACCGATCCACGGAAAGAGCCGAAGATGTCGGCTCAGTCATGTGATCAGCTGTGTCCAATAACAGCTGATCACATGTAAACAGGGAAATGCCGGTTATCTGCATTTCTCTCCTCTCGAGCTGTCACGCTGACAGCTCAACAGGAGAAAAGAGCCAGTAATCGGCATTCCTCGGAGGGGACATGTACACTGACCATCAGGGCACTGATGATCAGTGTGCCCTGATGATCAGTGTAGCCCCAGCACTGCCACCTGTCAGTGTCCATCGGTGCCAGCTGTCAGTGTCCATCAGTGCCAGCTGTCAGTGCTCATCAGTGCCCGTGCCCATCAGTGCCACAACAATGCCATATATCAGTGCCTACCAGTGCACATCAATGCCACATATTAGTGCCCATCTGAGCTGCCTTTCAGTGTCACCATTCAGGGCCAGTCAGTGCCACCTATCAGTGCCATATATCAGTGCTGCCTTTCAGTGCCCATCATTGATGCCTGTCAATGCCTATCAGTGCCACCTACCAGTGCCTCCTCATCATTGTCCATCAGTGCCACCTATCGGTTGTCCATCACTGCAGCCTCATTAACGCACATCAGTGAAGGAGAAAAATCACTTATTTACAAAATTTTATAAAAACTATGAAAAAAATTTTTTTTTCAAAATTTTCAGTGGTTTTTGGTTTAAGAAAAAATAAAAAACCAAGAGGTGATTAAATACCACCAAAATAAAGCTCTATCTGTCACAAAAAAAATGATAAAAATTGCATATGGGTACAGTGTTGCATGACCGCGCAATTGTCATTCAAAATGTGAAAGCGCTGAAAGCTGGGAATTGGCCTGGGCAGAAATATCCCTGTAGGCTTGTGGTTAAAGGACTATGATATAAATAAAAGAGTAGTATTCTTTGGAATACTGTGTGTTCCTTGTGCAAGGCAGGAAAACAGCAGAAGCGTAGGGAACTACATGCAGTACATGACTCGGGTCTTCGTAAAAAGAATGGATTGTGGATTACAAGAGGACTGGATGATCTTTCATTAGGGGGGTACAGCTTAGATGTTAAAAATAGCTTGGACCTGAGTGAAAGGGGGATTGCTGTGCAAGCAGAAACATTTGTAAGATGGTGGAACACATGGAGGTGGGGTTAAAAAATTATGCAGAAACTAGGGACCAGACACTACTGAAGGAAGAAGTGAAGAAGCATAATATAAGGGTTACAGTAGGTGTCAAGGAAATACTGTATTTGCATAATATATAATGTGTATATACCATTAGAAAACACTATACTAATGTGCTTTTACAAAAAAGGATAGGGTAAAAGGCAACTAATGCCACTAGTTTTGATACTTCTACATACAAAGCTATTGATAGTTCCCTTGTATCCCATCACTTTCTGTAAGGCTAGGCTCATATTTATGCAGGTTGATGTGGTTTTCTGGAACATTTTGCAGTGTGTTTTGCATTTTTGAACATACTTTTTTATGCCTTCTTTTGGGGGCAGGGGGGTCACTAATATTAAAATATGACAGTTCTGATCATGTAGTTTGACTATGATGCAACATTACACTCTTTGGCACTCAAGTAACATCAAGTAGTGCAGGAACCTTTTATGTGTCCAAAGTTGCATGTTAGGGTTAGGGTTAGGGTTAGCAGTAATTGTTAGGGTTATCATTCTAACACTGACAATCACCGCTATCCCTAACAATTACCTCTAACCCTAACCTTTTATCCTAACCCTAGTCCTTAACCCCAACCCTAACAGGTGACTTTGGACACATAAGGTTCCTGCATTACTTTGGTGTGACTTCGATGTAACTTTACACTCTCTGGCACTCAAGCAGCATCAAAGTCACACCAAAGCTGCCCTACATGAATAGAACTGTCATACTTTCCTATTAGCCAAACAAATACATCAAAGGTACACTTGCGTTTTTGGTGCGGGCTCATTGAAGTCTTTTACACGCATAACGCAATCTGCTGTGGGGAAAAAAAGTCCCTGACCCCTTCCAAAAAACGCAGTGGCTCAAAATGCACAAATGTGAAACTAGATCCATAAGAAACCATCTTAAATGGACTGTAGTGCGTTTCTGAAAAACACACTAAAAATGCTTAGGTGTGAACCAAAGGTAAAGGTGCACTAGAAGAGTGAAGAACTGGAAACAAATGTTCAGATGATAAAGTCTCTACTGGGAATGGAGATGATGAATGTTTAATGAGCGATAGATAGCATAGTAATGGAATTAAATAGTAGTATGCCTTTACATGTATTAACTTTATTCGTTTAAATTGATTGTCATAAAAAAGCAAATAGTCTGCCAGTACTGATCTCTGATTTTAAAAAGTTAGTTCCCTGGCTCCTGGTTATCATGTTGATGGTTTGGCTTCAATGCGTCCTAAGTTTGTGGCTTTCATCCAGTATAGGCAAAAGGGCAAAAGGAATTGTGACACTTTTCTGATGTTTATTTACAGCATGCCAGCTCCCATATTTTTTCATGAAAAGATGTTTATTCACTTTAAACAGTAGTGTTCACAAAAAATATTGAGAATATACTTGAAGTAAAATAAAGATAGCTTCTCCAAATTAACAGAAGCAAAGCCTGTGGAAGAATAAGTTATGCTGAACACTACAGCAGCTGTCAAGCCAATGTACACCTGGGGCATGCTTACCTTTCACTTCATGCACCACAACAAAAATTAATTAGGCATTTGAAAGATTGTTTTGAAAAAGTGTTTGCTAAATAGACATCATGATGATTGTATGTATTCATTATTTAAATACAATAGGCATATTTTCTCCCTATGTTTTGTAACTCATCTCTTTTAACATCTTTCATGATACAATTTGCATAATGGTTGCTACTTGAACCTTTTACTTAATATGTACAAAGCTAAAACTATTAGAATAAAAATACGTGTGCATGTTTGTCTATAGACAAACTATTAAGTGGCCTAGCAATGACTATGGAAACTGTTATTTTTAATTTGCCATTTGTGTCCGCAAGAAAATACCACCAGTAGCAGCGCCTAAAGTATATACAAATCTAAGAAAAAAATAATACATTGCAGATTGATATGTTTTTAGTTATGATAGCTGCATTTTATCAAGCCTTTATTCCTTTTATTTCACTTGATGACCCTGCAAGTAACACATCCTATCCTACACTGTGACACAAAGTGACAACGTTCACTCACTGCACTGTATCTATGGAGAAGCAGCATTGTCACCCTAGAAGAGGATGTGTGCTAGGACTAAAGAAGACATTTTCCTCTCCTCAGGTCCATAACATAGAAGGGAGGTGCTCTGTAGTCCACATAGGGAACTGGGAATGTAGTGGAATCCCCCGTAACCCACCTTTTTTCAGCAATCGGTAAATTCCCCTTTAATTCCTTTTCCCATAATACTCAGAACTCCTGGACACATCAAATCCACTGTTGACCACGCTCAGCTGCTCAGACAGACTGTGCCTGATGGGACAGAAATGACTAGGCATGTTTGCTGTCACTAGGTGGAGGGGACGGGGGGGGGGCTGCCACTGTTTCTGGCATGCAGGCTGCCAGATGAGTGTGCAAGAGCATGCAGCTTCATCTTAAGCCCCAGTCACTGTGCTACCTGGTCCTGAAATACTGCCTTTCCAATGGTGTGGCCCTGTAACTTTGGCCTCTCCTTGCACACTCATCCTGTGGACTTCTACCACCACCTGGACAGTGACTCCTTCAGCCTACCCTCTGTGGAGCCTGTCCAGAGATCCCTGCAGTCAAGCACCTGGGCTACCAGCTACAGCCAACTGCCTTAAGATAGAGGTGTTACCCCCAGGGAACTGAAAATAACTGTGACTGAACTATACTGTGGTGTTTAATACTAGTGATTTCTTCATATACTTTGTTCTCTTAAATACAATTATACTGTGTTGTACTGGAGGTCCTAATGATCTTTTTTGGAAACTACCCCAAGACAGTGCTGTACTACACTAGTTGGACTACCTGTTATGCTATGTTTGCTACATACACCTTTACCATTTTGGCATTGTCAATTTATCTTACATTCATAGCATAAACTTTAGGTTGCACATTACTGTTTTTCTGACCATTTGGCTAAAACGTCTACATTACATTTGTCGTCTATGAACAGGATCAAACAAGTTAGACAATGGTAATGTTAGCATTGAAATAACAGCTTCTGTCAGTGACACTCCAGAAGAGAAACAAACAGCTCACCACACCTGCTATTTTAAAGTATTTGTTCATGGTGGGATTTCTGCCACAACAGCTACCTAAATTTGATTATCATCAGAACTTGGTTTGAACTGGCTATTAACACCTTAGTGGTGGAAATGGAGTGGTTAATCCTTCAGATGATTGGGACAACATAATCAGCCATCTTGGAGCAATTTATTGCCAGGCAGTAGCATTAAAGGACTTCAGAGCTCTCTTTATCAGCAAGACATTCATTCTGCAATAGGCGGTGGAATTGCTATATATATTGCCACAGAAATGTGCCATAAGGTAAGGGGCTGTGTAGGACAGCCCAACTTTAGTGTCACAGATGGATGTCATATGTAGGTGGAATGCTGTCTGTTAAGGGCAGGAGTGTCAGTGAAATATAGAGACAACCTACCTTTGAAACTATTATAGATGGCCATTGCATGCTCAAGGCAGAGCCATACCAGGTGGGAGCACCCATGACCATCCCAGGCAGAAAACCAATAGACCAACAAGAAATTGAAAAGTCAGTTCCATGGGAAATTGGCAGAAGGGATACCCCATCTCCAGACCGTACTATACACATTTAAGAGCCAGCAGGAACATCCAAAGAAATAAAGACAGAATGTCCACTCGTGGAGAAACTGAACACTGCTTTGGAGATGACCAAGACAAGTGAAGTCACCCTTCCTGTGCTGGTTCAGCCATGGAATGGGCCATTGCCTGAGTGAGTGCCCTAACTGAATGCAGAAGAAGCCAATAAACTTGAATGCATGCTGCTAGCAGTCAAATGGTAGGACAGTCAAGAGAAATGATTCCTCACAGTACTGAAAATGTAGTGGTTGATTGCCATGCTGTGCATAGATGGTTCAACAGCCAGTTGGTGTGCCACTTTGATTTTAAGTCACAAGTCACTACTCTTTCAAAACCCCTATTGCTTTCCCAAGGGGGATACCTAGGTAGGCTAAATGCCATAGTGGACAAGTGTTTTTGATGGGGGTGACCGTAGTTGATGTTGGACATGAATATCATCCAGGGACCGAGACCTGAGCTGTTAAAAGGCCTGCTCAGTTGAATTTACCTAAGGAGATTAGACAACTAATTCATGCCTTCATGCCTCAATTCCATGCATGCCACTATGTAGCAAAAGTGAGCTTTATTAAGTTGTCAGCAGAAAAAGACCAAGAGAATGGAAAGTAGAACAGATACTCCTGATCTTTCAGCTGACCAGTAAGAAACCATCATTCTCTTAGAGGCAAAAGGTTCACTAGTGAATAAGTGATCAGAGATATTTTCATAAGAGGACCATAGCCTGGACTATAGCAATGTCATCAAACAAGAGACACCCACAGTTGAGAGTCTTCCCATCTAGGAGAGGTATCAAAGCAATGAAAATCTCCTCACCTCTATCAGGAGTAAAGAAGATGCTGGAATATATTATGCAACGGGGTGATTTAA